ACCAGCCTAATTCTGCGAATAGGGTAAAAAAAAAAAAAAAACAATTCAACATACTTATATGCAGAAAAATACATCCAATTCATATTTCAAAAATATAAATAAATTTAGTAGCATTTGCCACTGTCGGCTCAAAAGAAAGTTACACCAAAAGCTCCTCTACATCAATGATTGTAACCTAATTCAAAAGGCTTAAAATTTTAAGCATCAAACAGAAAACAGTAACTTCTTCTTAACATCCATTCAGCACAAATCTGAAACAGCTAATGGGAATAAAAGCCAGAAAGCAAAAGAGAAGATAGATACCCAAAATGAAAGAAGGAAAAGATCCCAGATAAAAAAAGAGCGAGTACTACCATACGCGTAACAGACTCTGCCTACGCCTAAACGCCTGGCCTTCACAAGCCCATACAACTTTACCCAGACTAGTCAAACCTTGATTAGCAAGTTTCGTGTACTTGAACAATCAATAAACAAAAAGGCATATTCAATTTTCTATTTCACTGCCACAGCACTAACTTAACCAACAAATAGTGATAAATTTCAAGCTCTAGGTATATGCTCGCTCCGAAAATGGTTGAAGATGAATTGATATAAACTAAACAAATCAAAAGGCAGGCCCTTCTCTGCAGCAGGAAAATAAGTAAAATATTGGCTAAGCCTAACCCTAACAGATACTGATGGCTCAGCTTAGCTCATCGTAAAATCTTCCCCAAAAATTGGAAATTAAAAGCAAAATTAACTTAACAGAAAAAAAGAAGAAGTACCTACAATCGAACGTCGGGGCATTGAAAGCCGCTTTTGGCCAAGTAGTGCTCCACAAGCTCGTCGGGTATCTGAAAGAAGAAAAACCACGATTTGGATTTGATTTGATATGATCGGAATTTGAATGAAATGAAATTGATGGAATTAAGTATTACAGTGGGGGTATAGTCCATTAAGGAAGCAAGAAATTCTGTGAGTGCCGCGTCGTCATCGTGCCTGCTGCCTTCGCTCGATTGCTGGTTCTGGTTCTGGTTTTGGTTATGGTTCATCTTCTCTCTCTCAGAAATACGATATTGGTTTGAGACTAGCGCTGAGATTTGCAAATTTATCGACTTAATTTTTGCCTTGAAGTATTTTTATTTATTTTCACCCGGATCGGGTTATATCTTTTTCCGAATCCATTTAGGCCCATTATTGTTTTGGGCCTATAACTAATGGCCCAAATAGCGATTAAGCACTAAAACCTGCAAGCAACTCTTTGAAAGAACACAACTGTCATTTTAATCCCAGGTTGCAAGGGACCATGATATACATTGCAACATCAAGTGATGAAAAAGTCAGTGTCATCCTCTTCCAGTCAAACTTTTAACAGAACAACTTGGGAAGAATTATTGAACCACAGTGAATCTGTAGTTTTAACAAATTTATTAATGATTGCATCAGAAAGGTGGGGGAAAAAAAAAAGGATACAATGTTCATGAGAAAGAAACTTTGACAGCTTTACATCATACTCTGTGTTGAAAGAACAAAACAAAAAACGGAAGGGATTTAACGCGTCTACTTCGACTTCTGGTTGTAACGCTGAATTCCGTTGACATCTACAATCCCAGGAGGGAAGACGGGATCAGTAGCTGCTCTAACAGCAACGTTTGCCACTGCTGTAACATTCACTGGAGGAGTAAAGAGAGGCCCAACAAGTGGCAGCTGGTTCAGAGGTCTTGTGTGTTGGAACAACTGCCAGTAAATTCAATATGAATTAGTTGATATAACTTTTCACTCTCAAAAAGAAATGAATGTGAATCAGTTTATAGCATGAGGTTTCTTAACCTGAGAGTATCTCTGTTCAAGAAAAAAAAGGGACCAAAAAACCTTGTTTGGGACTAGTAGAAATCAGCTGAGAGAGATTATTACGATAAGTTTCTGGATATTTTATATCAAGTTCCCCTTTTCGTTAAAATCTTGCTAACTCAGGTTTCAGGCGAATTATAAGTGGGGAACTACATGTGGAATGTATGAAGAACTAGCACTTTACCATCTCCAATGGAGAACCAATTACTCCGAGAGGTAACTTTACGCTCCCAACGCTTCGAGTCCCATAAATAAATCCAGGCCTCAAAATCACTCCTGAAAACCGCAAGTAAAATTTCATGTAATAGAAGATTCCATTATTATACAAAACATAAACGGTCCCTATAACTAATACTCTAGTCACCCGTTATTGGTTTCAAGAAACATAGTAAATTAATGTTTTTAAGAAGATATTGATTGAAATTAGAGGGACAAGATATGTAACTAATTGTTAAATTTCCAGGCAAGTTTATTAATATCTCTGATCTTAGCCATTTATCTGATAAATGAACAGCTAGGTATAAGATGTTCATCTGACAGAGTAAGAAAGCTCACCTCCATAAGGGAATTTGGTTAGTAGCTCTGTTTCTGCAGCTCTCTAGATTGAACAAGATGCAGCAAAGGAATTTGTGTCAGATAACATTAAAAACATTAAAAATTGTTCCCAGCAACAATACTAGAGCATGATGAAATGGGTACGAGTAAAAGACAAACATTTATTAAGAAAAGAGTCCCAGCATTAAAATGTCTCGTACAAGTAAACTTAAACAAAGCAAATAGGTTGCTATCATTCAGTATGGTACCTTCCCCTCATAATATCCTCGCAGTAAGTAATTTACCACACCAAAATCAGCAGCAGAGACATACACAAATCGTTTCACACCTGCAGGATCAACGGCAATAGTTTAATAGAGGTACTAAGGAAGTTGCCAACAGAAAATGAAATTTGAAACATATATGAATATATACCTTGTTCAGAAGCAGCTCTAATTGCATTTATATTAGCAGTCCCATTAATCTTATACATGTAAGAATTGGAGCCAAACCCACCAACACAGGATATCTAGGACAAGAAAACTCATTAGGAAGGCAAATCAAACATATCACCCAGGAAAGAAAGCTAAGTGGCAGGATAAGTAAGAGAGAGTTTCATTCTATAATCTATACAATAAGCACATTTTGAACTACAAATGGAAGGGGGGGAACAATACATTACATGGATAGAGAAAGTGTCAGTGTGTGCACGCGTCTTTGCTACATATTGGCTAATGACAGTCAATTAAAACAGAGCATGAAGAGAATGCATACAACAGACGTGACACCATCGAGAGCATCCTTCAATGACTCAGGTGATAGAAGGTTTCCTGGAAAAGGAAATTTTTTTTAAGAAACTGCTGCCCGAAAAAGAGTGAGGTCATCAAAAAAAGACTACGCAAGAAAGCAAACCTTTATGCCAGGTCACATCGTTGGCCCATGGATCATGTAATGATGACCTACCAGACCTGAGAAGGAAAATAAGAAAGCATTAGGAATTAGATGGTATTCAATCAAACAGAATAATCAAATATATGGAGATGGAAGTGTAGTATTTTCCTCTTAGTAAATAGGCAGCTACAGAATTATTATTCCCTTCTTATATAGAAAGCATTCAGATCGGCTACAAGCCTAATTCAGATCGGCTACAAGCCTAAACTGATCAACGCTGATGAATAATTCCTAAGCATCAATAGGTGAAGCAACTTAACAATTATATAGAGAAAAGTCATACCTGCTAAGGCTGGCAACAGACAATCCACGATCTAATGCCTCTCTACAAACATGTGAGCCAACAAATCCATTTCCACCCAACACAAGCAACTGAATTAAGAATCACACAAGTTAAAGAAAATATAATGGCTCAGAGATGGATAAAACAAAAATATAGACGGAATAACAGTTCGATAGTATTCACAACAAGATAGTACCTTCTCTGTTGGAGGAGGGGGGATGTTTACAGTCTCTGCTTCCTCAACCTTGAAGGGTTCATCAACCTTACTAGAGTCTGTTGAGAGATACCTCCCATTCCTGGGTGCATCCATTATACTGAATTTACAGAAATGAGATATTTGAAAATCACAATACACCCTAAACCCGAAATAATCATTGTTAGAATCCTACTAGATTCTGGAAACAAAAACATTCCAAAGAAAAATAAACATAAAAGAATATCGAGGAAATATTAGCTTGTCAATTTCCACCCACAAATTCAACAATGTAGGAGAACCCATGGCGGTAAATAATACGAAAACAGTAAAGCGTATCCATGAACCCAGATAATAAATTATTGTCAAGCAAACCCAAAAACTGAATTTAAAAATTAAACTTAATACTCTAATATCCCAATCAATCTGTTTAGGGTTTTCCATTATTTTCCCACTCTCTCTCGACAGCCAAACATGGCATTACTATTCGCGAAACAAAAACATCAATACCCAAAAGAATCACATTTCAAAGACCAAAGTAGAATACAGAAGAAATTGAGTATGGATTCAAAGCAAAAAGAAATAGAAATCAAAACATACAAGAGCCTGGGAAGTGATGATCTTGAATGGATCAACCGCGACACGACCGTCCTCATTTTGAAATGCGTTTTCCAGAGTCTCTCTCGCTTTTTCTAGGGTTTCTTCAAGTTCAGTTTCTGGGAGAATGCCTGGAGCACAAGCAATCGGAGAGTCTAGCTCCTTCTTGCAGAGGACGGGTTTGGTTTAGAGAGAGTGAGAGCTTAAGAGAAACAGAACACATGGCGCGTAATGGTGGAGACAAGTGGTTCGTTGAAGGCCTAGGGAAACTGCAAAGGGACAAGTCTAGCGTGTTAATCAAGCACACCGCAAACGCTGTGTTTCACGTTTCATAAATGACGTGGCGCTTTTTTATTTGACAAAATGACAATAGTTCTTTAGTGTCCTTGCATTGAGATCGATCCTCGTACATTTGAGTAATTTAGAATAGGCTTATTTACTGTAGTGTCCTCTAAAACTATGATCAAGTGTCACTTTGCCTCCTAAAAGTTAAAGTGAGCCACTTTGCCACCAAAGTTTAATGTCTCATGTTGCCCCATATCGTCAACTTCATCAAAAAAATCTGTTAATTTTGATGGCATGATAGAAATATATTTATAATTTCATAACACGTGGATCATTTATCCACCAATATGAGTGACATGGCCAAGAAAATATCGTTTTTTTTCTTCTTCTAATTTGTGAAATTCTACTGTAATTTTGATTTTCAAGTTTAATATACTCATTGTTGAAATTTAAGGAACTTTGACTCCATTAAAATTTTCGACCAAATTAGGAGATGTGAAGTGTCTTCAACATATGTCCCTTACATGCTAATTTCGTCAAATAATTGAATAAATCTACAACCAATGAACTAAGTTGGTCTATGCTTGAGTTATAAGAACGAAATTTGACCCGCCTTCTTTGCTCTCTTGTATTGGTAAATTGTGGGAACACATTTTGGTAACCTATTATGAGGCACCACGTGGATAATGGGAATATAATCAACAATTGTACTCCATTTAATTGGTCAATTGTTTAGACTTAAAATAGGATATTACCATAAATTAGGGATATGATATTTGTTAAATCTCTCTGATTAATCCAATCTCTCCATTTAGGGGAGAGAATAATTTCATTTCATATGGGAATTATTCTCTGAAAAACTCTAGAATGCACATACAAGGTAATCTGATTTTTACCTGAGAAATTCACTCTCTCTCACACCATTCTCTCCCAAATCCTTCACGGCTTCGACCACCCTCACACATGGCTCCGGCCACCTGGCTCTCCCCATGAGAGAAGACCTCCATCCTTTTCGTTACTTTGTCGTATCTTTCTCAAGATCTAATTAACTGACTTAGGCATCGAAGGGCTTTTGGCGAACACCCCCCCAAGCGTGGTCTATTTACTCATGTCTTTTTCACATGGATCGAGAAAGAGGAGAGAAAAGGAAGCTTGAATGGTGTAGAATCAACCCACGAAACAAACCTAACCATCAATGGTCAATATTGCCCGAAAAAAACATATTTGATGTGTATCTATCTATGAGTCATTCTATAGTGAGGGCCATTAATAATCTAATGACTATCTAATTTGATCCAACAATTAAAATGTATGGCCTTACCTAAGGGCCATATATAAGTACCTCGCTGTAGAATTCTTCATCCATCTGTCTAATATAAGCTTGACTGCTTGCGTGGCCCAAAATATAGCTGAAAATAGATGGGATCTAAAAGGTCCAAAGCTCCTTCCCTTCTCTAGATGGGTCAAGTATAAGTTCTTCTTAAGCCTGGACAATGAAATTTCATGGCCCAAAACCCTAGTTAAGCCTGGATTTTGCTCAAGCAGATATGGGCTGAACATTAGGCCCAATATTTCTTTCAAAGTGATAGTATCAAAGCAGCCTTATTTTTTATTTTTTTTTATTTTTAACAAATCAAATATTTTGAGATTACTTTACTGTCAAGGAGGGAGATGGAACTCCGGTGTAACTGGACTAAAGGAGATGTCAAAAAATCTCTTATAGGAGCCGACAGATTCATTAGGCATGATCTGATAAAATTTAGTCTAAATCATGAAGATCTTATTAGCTCAGAGAGAAGGAAACTAGATTTGCTATATATATATTCCTCAATCTGTTGTAAATCCAATTGTTCAACTGGCAATGGCATACATGGATCCAGAAAAGTGGATTTAATGTTTGATACTCCAAGTGAATCTGTGTGTGCCTAATTAACTTTGTCCAATTTCCAGAAGGAATATTTGAAGGCCTCTCTCTCAGTGGCCTCCTCCATTTTCCATCATGGATGATGACTCGTGTGAGAATAATTATTTATTTTTTTTAAACACCCTCTAACTGTAACAACTGATCTTTTGTGAATTCCAAAGGCCAACACAAAGTGGGTTGGATTCCAAGTTGAAATCAGATCAGAATAATTAAGGAAAAACAGAATTTTGGATTTGCATTTGAATTTGAATTTGAATCGCAGCAGCTTGGATTTGAGGGCAGATTTTGAAAGGCTTTATTCCATCGTGTAGTTTTCATACCAATTTGCATCTATATATAGCATGCAAGATTTGGTGAAAGGGAAGAGACTTTATCCGAATATAAACCGAAGGGTCCCTTGGAAATGTGCTGGTTTTATATGCGCATATATATGAGAAAACGACTTAAGTCTGTCCCATTAGTCTTTACAGTGAAGCAATCACTCTCCATTTGGCTCATTGTCTAATAAGTTTCCTTACCCCTGATAAAACTTACAATATATATGAGAAAAGTGCGAGAATATATGCAGCACTTAGGGCATTTTCGGACTCACTGCTCCAATTTAAGATTTGGTACGCATATAACGTCTATCTCAGACAAATATTTATGTTGTCATATTGTGAATTTAGACCGCGTAACTTGATCAACTATGCATATTCACAGTTTAACGATATAAGTATATTATCGCATATTTTAACGAAGAAAAGAAAACATTAGCCCTGAAAGTAATATATGTGTTTGGTTTGGTGCATTTCAATATGATGGCTGATGTGTATGAGCTAGTACTAGTGCTGGCTCCCTTATCTAAATCAAAAGAAGAAGCATATAATAAAAGGGTCTACAAAAACGTCACACAAAAAAAGACCACTCAAGTAGTGGGAACAAAGTGCCCCTCTTTCTCCTTATTTTCTATGTTGCGGCAGAAGATTCCAACACTAACCCTCACCATGGTTTCTTTTCTTCTTCTTTTTTCCGTTAATTAGATTAGTATGGACGCTAACCTTTAATTAAAATAAATAAATTCTGGGTTAAGTTATATCTCCCAAGTACAAGTACCCTGTCCTATAATATGATAATATTATATTTCAAATCATTCTAGTAATCCCTCCATATGTACTTAATTAAATCCATAGGATATGATTCTCCTCTTTTAGCAATGTGGAGTTTAATTCATTATTAGAACTAATCATCACTTATTATTATTAAATAAATTTAAGGAGAAACACTAATTGGTGCTGCACCCAAAATAGAAGTTGATGATGTCAATCTCAACAAGTTTTACTGTAAGGTGTTTTTTTTTTTCATTGAAAACATATGCAGATCTGTCGTGTCCGGTAATAATTTCCAAATGTACAAATTAAATATTTTTAAAAAACTAATTAAGTGGTTAATAATGATTAACTTGCTTGGAAAAGCAAAGATTAAGTACAAAAGTTGAATGGATCTGATCAAATCAATTATCTGATTGCGTTGTGTGACACTACTAGTACTGAACTCAAAAGAATCCCCAAGTTAACTGTGGAGAGGAGAATTTCAACTCCAAATGGCGTTGAGTGACAGAAAGAGAATATCTATTGATTGACGTGTTGAAGTGAAACAGAAGCATCAAAGTGGATTCAAATCGTGTATGAATGCATTACGGTTAGTTCATTACAAACGGCTTTTGATTTTAGGCCTTCATTCATGAAACTAATCTACAGTGAAGAATATGGAATCCGTACCATATCATGTTGAAATGAGAAAGAATAATGTTAATACAGTACTTAAAAGCATTGATTAAGGTTAACATGGAAAATAAGCAACCTGCGGCAAACGTAAAGCATGTCAGTAGGGTAGGCGCCGTGATTAAGTTAATAAAGTTCATGTTTTAAGCAGAAATTTCAGGGAAAAAAATTCGTGTTTTGCACTGTAGAGGCCCTTTGACACAATTTTTATAAAGCAGTCACAAAACATGATTTATGATAATTTCCCAGAAAATATACAAAGGTATTTCCCTTTTTATACTTGTATGTCTTCTAGCTATCGATACAAAGATCGTTTTGTCACAACTTCTATGTGTAAAAGGTCCCCTGCCCACATACATATATGGATCCATGAAAGATCTTTCAAGATGATAAAACCCTAGTTGCATAAGTTGCATACAACAATCATGTCTTCCTATACGAATCAATCAAATACAAAATTATATAATCTCTCACTCTTGCTACCACACAAAAACTATCATACCATAAGAAGATCATAAGGTAGTATTTAGTAACGGAAAAATGAAAACATTTTGTTTGGTAACCGGACATAACTAGGGTTTTGAGATGAAACACAATCGTTAGTCTCACGTACAAAAAGCAAATGTGACAAAAGAGAGATTTTTGAACTTGAGACCTCTTAGGATATCGATACACATAGATAGAATGGTGTAGGAGGCAGAGATAGTGATAGGTGGAAAAACGAAGGGGCAAATGCCGGAGGCAACGGGACCTGCTGGGCGAAGAGGGTGGGAAAGCAAAGCATAAAGTGGTGGCAAGCAAAGCATAAAGAGGTGGCTGCGATCATAGCTGATGCTGACAGAGGTGGGGATCTATTATAATGGCAAAGCACCAAAAAAGTCATACTCTTCCCCCCCAAAAACAATTTTCCCCAATGTTCCCTGGCCCCATTTGCCCCTACAGTCACAATCTTTATCTACCTCAGCTGCTTGCCCGTCTAATTCTGTACTCGAACACAGAATTTGATCCAATTATGTCTGATTCCATGCAAATTGACCTAATTAAGTCAATCCAAATCTCCAATTAACACTTGCATAATCCTACTATCAGTAAAAGCTATTAATTAGTTGATGTATTTCTTCAGTTCATACACACATACATACAGCTTTTGGAAAATGAAGTTTCAGCTTTTCTTTCCCCACACACAACCATAAGACAGCTCACATATATCTGCCAAACCTATCCATTTATTTTAGTGCTGGTCTGGCATTATTTGCCTATCATTAAATGATACTGGTATAGCCCAAACTAAATATGAATATGACCTTAGCCACCAAATTGTGCCTCAAAATCTCTTTTTTCAAGTGGATTAGCAGCAGAAAAGTGGCGTGTTATGGTACGCTCTGTCATATTCCAGGTAAGTAAGGCTATTCGAGGCTTCGATGCGACGGATGAAACATGATTACCAATCAAATTACTAATTAAGCAAGTGATGCAATACTAAGGAAGAAGAGAGAGGCCACAATTAGTTTGCTGGCACTTTGGATACACTAATGCCCATTCTTTGTATCCTTATCCAATGATTGTTGTCCTCTTTGGATACACTAATTAAGCTCAGTGCATTTTTACTGTGCCCACAGCAAAAGAAGCAACCACAACTCTAGCAGCCTACATATTACTTTTGGTTGGACTTTGCCTTTAATTTTAAAAAAAATTCAAACAGTAAAAATTGCTTAATTACATCACCCCACCCAAAACATTCCCTTCTAGATCCAATTAGTGGAGGCTCATAGAATAACATTATATATTCTTTATCCCACGACACAACTGAAAAAAAATAAAAAATAAAGCAAATAGTACAATTTTCACTCCCACTTTTATCAATGTAACATGTCTAATCTCTTAGATTAAGCATGTCTTAACCCATCTTGTGAAATGACAATTTAAATCATTGCCCAACAAGCTCATTGGCCAAGACAGGTTGATTACTTCAGCAATAGGCACCACCTGTATAAAATACACCTTACCCTTATGATATTCTTTCTTGTAGTACACTGTACATGGCATTGGCAGCACCACTATATGTTGTATGGGTCTAATCAACAAAATCAAATGTTGAAATGGCTATTATTGAACATGGCATTGGCAGCATCATTATATGTTGTCTGGGTCTAATCAATAAAATTAAATGTTGAAATGGTTATTATTAAACTTATGTCGCGGAACGGATACTTATGTTTTATGTTATTACAAGAATCATTTTCATAAATGTTTCGGATTTATTGTTTGACAACATAAGAGACCGGAAAAATAACTTTGATGAGTTCATACTTGCCACTGGTCCGAATATTTTTTAGGCCCATTCACACATAATGATCCAACAGCAGGATCCGGGTGTGAAACAGTGCACCTTGTTGTTTACAACAAAGAAAAAAAAGGGCCAAATCCGTGACCCCAATAAAGAAACGGTAACAGAGAGACAAACACTTTTCCCCTGCTATAAATACAATAGCCTACCACCTCCATTTTCACAAGCTCAAATTCCTCACCTTCTTTTCATCTACTCAAAACCTTCCTCTCAACCCCAACCTCAAGAAACCCCAAAAGGAAAAAAAATTAAAAAATGAGAACCTTAACTGCCATCTCTGCAACAACAGCAACAAAATCTTCATTGGAATCATTGCCGCCAACACCAGCCATGGCTGTTCAGCAGCAGCGCTCGCCATGGCACTCTCCGGTGCCATACCTCTTCGGAGGCCTCGCAGCGATGCTGGGTCTTATTGCTTTTGCTCTGTTGATCCTGGCCTGCTCTTACTGGAAGCTTTCGAGCCGATTGGAAGACAGAGAAGGAGGCGAAAGGGACTTGGAGAGTGGCGGTGGTGATGAGAAAGATCAAGGCGATGAGTCTAGCAAGACAGTGAAGGTTTTTGAAGAGAAGATTTTGGTGATAATGGCTGGAAATGAGAACGCAACATTTTTGGCGACGCCTGTTTCATTGTGCTCTAAAGTTGCCTCCTTTGGTGCTGATAAGCACGTTGTTGATGAACAGGGAGAGAGTAAAGATGGTAATAAAGAAGAGAGTTCTTCTGAGAAAATGAAAGAGGAATTGGGAGCCCAGCATCTTGATGAAGCGGTGAGTAGTATTCAAAACAGCGATACAGAAACCCAACAGGGGCAATTCAAAGAAGAAGAATCCCACCACCATCAAAACCAGTGAGCTCACTGAGCCTGCTCTGTTTCAGTTTTTGCATATCTCCAGAGAGACAGAGTGTTCTGTTTTTTTGTTTCCCCTGGTTCTACTTTTAAAAAAAATATTTTTCTGGTGGGTTTTTTTCTATTTTGAATCGGGAAATGTAAATTTTGAAGAGATGAATTAGTTGATGAGATTGGAAATTAAAAGGAATTAAATTTTGTTGATGAGAGAGTTTTCATTCATTCTTCTAGCTAATTACAACCGGTACGTATGCTGCACAAATGAAGAACAATCATTTGCGTTTCCTTAACTTTTTCCCCAAGCATTGTTTTGTTACAGACTTTTGCTTTGCTTAAATGACATTATGAACCAAAAAAATATTAGCTGCCCATTGGTCCCTTAAAATTATTTTAAATTTTATCTTTGAATATTACTAACACCCACATTAAGAGGAAAAACTGAAATTAAAAAACGTTGTGCGGTGGAATAATGTTTTCTTGGTGACATTGTTTTAAGTCACCTTCCAAGGAAGGGAAAGAATCAAGCAAAGGAAATGGAATGACGACATATATCTAAAAAAATTAAACATTTCTTAAAAATTCCGACTGGGCCTGCCGGAAATATTAGGCAAGCTGGTGCAGGGCAGGTGACAATTGGGAGGGGTGGGTTAATTGGGGCACGAGAAAGCTGAGGTAAGACTTGCCATTTTCTTGGGTGCAAGAGAAGATAGCTTTCTCATTGGTCTCGTTGTTTCTTGCTTAAAAGCTACGTGTAAACTCGAGCAGCTGAGTTGTCTCATTCGCGGCGCCACGCAAAGCCGCGTCCCCCCTCATTAAATCCTCATCTTTTATTATCGTAATGTATGTATTGCAGTATATAGGTGAAAAGGGCCGGTTATCAATTAAATTGTACAAGAACTAAACCCAAGGGTTATTGTAAACTGTTGATTAGGCCCAACCCCAAACGGCCCAAACCTAACCGCTTTGTTTGGATTAGTTTCAGGCTAGTTTATTTTATCGGTCGGAATTACGATAAAAGTGACTAATTACTAATGGTCTAGTGTGATTTATATTTAATTCGAGTTCGGTAGACCACAAAATACAGATGAATTCTGCAGCATGGTGATCATGGCTGGTTTGATCTCAAAATTGTTGGCTGCAATAGCAGGACGTCGGATCGCTGAGGGAGTTGCCACTGGGGGGCCAAATTCCCCCACGGCTCTTTCTGCTTCCTCCGCCATAGGTGTGGATGGTGGTTCCACCAAAGTGTGCTTTTTGTTTCCTTTGTTCCGCTTATGAAACGTACGTTCGATTTCTGGGTCAAGTGGTATGAGTTCTAGGGTACGAGAACGGTGCATACACGGATCAAAGTACCTGAAACAAAAAGAAGAAATTCAAATTAAACTCAGAATTAAAATATATTGATATTAATAGAAAATAAAACAGTCCCCGGCAGCGGCGCCAAAAACTTGTTGTGAAATTATTGCAAGCGCACAATTCGTACAAGTAATATAGAAATAAGTAGAGTGTCGTTCCCACGAAGACTGTAATTTCCTATTAACTACCAATTATGATTAATTTAGAAGTTTATTTGAACAGTTAATTAAGAAGATTGATTGATTCAAGAAAACTAAAATAATTATGAAAAATAACAATTTAATTAACGATAGAAAATTAAGATGATGAGACACTAGAGCATCCGATTTCACCATAACCAATTCTACTTAATTCTTATAGCCAATTAACCCTAATTACTATCCCTGTTGACAGTTGGTTTCTCCTAATTCATTCGATATCCCCTCTCGGGCTCAACCAAAAGTATTCTCAATTAACAACCCATTCTCTCTCGAGCAACGGATTTAGAAAACTAAGAACCCATTAAGTTCTATGAGAACCTACAAGAAAACTGCATGAGTCATGTTAGTCCCTCTCGGGCACTCATTCAAGTCATGGTATTTGTTACAAGAAGCAAACACCAAACATCTCCTCTCGGTCTCCGCTTGGATCATCAATTAAATATTAGCTAGATATTTAAATCATTAAGAACAGTAACAAATACTCAACATGGGATAATAATAAGGAATTAATATAACTATAAAAATTGAGTATTCATGGTTAGGCTACATCGTAGCCCTAGCAAGGGAAATTAGTTCATGACAGAAGAAAATATAAACAAGAGAATTATTGTCATAAAACCAATTTGGCCGATGGACTTGATCTTCAGAATCTTCACAGGAACACCTTCAAAAGCTCCTCAAATAATGCAGCAGCAAATTCTTGGCTTCCTCTGATATTTCTCTGGGTGTATGAAAGTTGGTGGAAAAATATGGTAGATGATGGTGGAAAAAGGTGATACCATGAAGAGATCCTAGGGTGACCTTATATAGTATAAAACAACTAAACCCTACTTCAAAAAGGTCTAGAAAAACTCTCCTAAAGCAAAACAAAATCTCAAACAATTAAGGAAACAAACTAGGAAAGAATCCTTATTTGACTTGGAAACACGTCAGCCAACTTGCACGCACGTTTTGGGGTCGTTCCACTTCCTAGAAAATTCTGGAAAAATATGAGAAACGTAGCTTTATCTCTAAGCTTTCCAAGCATATATTACACACCACTAGGAAAAATCGGAAAGATATTCAAATCTTCACTCTTCCACAGCAGTGCAGTTCTGACGGGATTTCAACTTAGGCTGTCTTGACTTGCAGGTCTGGAGCATTTGGCTTGGTAGAAAATTATGAAACTTTGATACAATGATCTTCAATGTCTTAGCTTTCTTCTACAATTGGTCTTGCACTAAAATGCATTCGAAAAGTTGATTTTCAGTTGAAATCCTTCCAAGAGCGCAGAATAGCTGAAAATAAGGAAAGTAAAGTAATAATACTCTTTTTAATTAACTTTCCCCACAAAACCTACATATAAAAGGTGTAAAAATATAGGAAATAATACACTTATCAAACTACCTCAAACCTATCTTTTGCTAGTCCTCGAGCAAAATTAGAAATTAAAACAAACACAAGACAAAAACTAACTAAACCACTTTCGCAGGTAAACTCGATGGCACTTAGCATGTGCCACAAGCCGTTAAACCTCTAGGTGTCCCTAGTAGGAGGAGTTGTGTCTCCTGAGGGTTTACCAGTCACGATACCCACAAACGTTTACTACAAAACAAAGTCGTTAAAGACACCACTTTAACAGGCTAATAAAAATCAATGCATGCCAATCACATTTGCATCACTAAAGATATGCCACTTTGAGTAAATTGCATCATAGTGTAATGTGTAATACCAAAACTCATAACATCAAAGCTTAAAGACAACCACACTCGAATACCATGGAATTATTTCGCCTTGACTCTAATCCTCACCGGATATCACTCTATAATTTTTCTCTCAGAATCCTAGGCTTACACTCAAATGTCACATATGTGTATGAAGTTATGTAATGGAAATCAAATATTAACACATATGCTTAGCTTGAAGAATGGCAATTTCTAAAAATAATGTCTCATAAAAAGAATCGAATACTAAGAACTAGAGTACATACCTCACCTCCAAGAAAGATTTCCCAAAAGATCAGTTAGGTCTTTTACTTTGGTTGTAATGAAAGGCTAGGTTTGGGTTAAGAAAGAAAGGAAAGGAATAACAAAAACTTAGGACATACCAAAGCATTATTCACGATCACATACACGGACAGCTCTTTTTGAACTTTTTGTACCACTCAGCGTCCAGGGATTGTGCATATTTTCTACTCCATTTGGAGTGATTTTGAACTTTTATTCTTTTGATTTGCAAAATATTTTCTTTTCTTTTCTTTTCTTATATTTCTTTTTTTTCTTGCAATTTTTACACAAACACCTCGGTACACGCCAATTCTTTGGTGTAGAGCCCAACCTTCTTATTTTCATCACTTTGGCACATCCTAAGCTATAAGGTATGGCTTAGAAACGGGTTATATAGGTTAAAAGATAGTAGGAGTGATGAAGGAAGGGCTAAGTGTTTGGTTGCAAAGGGGTTAATGACGCACACAAAGGGGTAGGATGAAAAGTCTTTTAGAGGGTGAAAACATGCATAGCCTAACATCATCTCTTATGGTCCATCCAACTTGGAAGCGACATACCTACAAAAATAAGAAAATTCTTTAGTATCCAATACAAACCTAATGAGAGCAATCTAATTAAGAATAAAATCGAAGAGTGTTTAAGAGTAGAAACAATGAAACCCCTCTCAAAGAAAATGGCTTTTGGCTCAATTATCTCACAAAGGTAGTCTCCACTAATATTCCATAGTCATTCGAGCATAGCAACCTTGTCCACCAAAACATTACGAGTATGGTATTGTGAAGTGCAAAGATTATAATGCAATCACCCTTCATGGCAACACGTTAGTAAAGCATTCATGATCAAAACATGGCATATACATCTCTATTAGCAAGGAAAAGTGACAACTTTAACTAGAATTTATGTTTCACAAAAACTGCTTCTTTTCAATTTTGACCTCAGATCAGTTTTCAACAATTATCTCTTAAAGTACTGCATGGATTTTGACAAGCCTTATATGCTCAGAAAATAGACAAAGAAACGCATAACTTTTCTTTAGACCAAATACCAGAAAACAGACTAGAACTGCATGAAAACTGACGTTAAATACAGAACACAGTACAGAATCGCAGAAATACTGGAGTTCCAGACCCCTGTTCAGAAAAACAGCTATAACTTCCAAACGAAAAGTCAGAAAATTACGAGCCTTATATGGCTGGATTCAGCACGAAAAACTGAAGAAGGCAACGCGGGCCAAATCTTCAATTCTATCACAGATTAAAACAGTATTATCGAAACATAAACACCAATGCTTTGCATGACTCGAAAAAGACTAAAAACGAAAAAATTAAAAAATAAAACTAATGTTACCCACCTCAAACCTAAATGAAACATTGTCCTCAATGTTTAAATAGAAAATAAGAGCAAGGACAAAGAATAGTAAAATAAATGAACGAGGGAAACACACAAATAAAAATTAAAAAGATAAGGAACGAAGGTACCTAGTTGGGTTGCCTTCCAACAAGCGCTTAGTTTAGAGTCAATAGCCCGACTTTTGGATGCGTTTACTTGGGATCATCGAGTAGGACGGTGCTCTCCTCCTCAAGAAATGCGGCTGTCACATAAGGTTTGAGTCGATGGCCATTAACTTTGAAAGTTGTACCGTCACGATCGTTCTTGATTTCAA